CGGTTGCCTATTAGGTATGGCCATTTTATTACTTTTTTCTATAAATATGATGACAAGTTTTTTTTTCGATTTCCTTAGAATTACATTTATTTTTTTTTTTTTTTGCTTTCCTTCTTTTTGTCTATTCGCAAGAATTACTTTCCCAAGGAAGTACATATTATTATAGTCAACATTCTTTCGATGTTACCCAGATCGTCATTGCAATGTGCGAATTTTTCTCTTCTTCTAGTTGTATTAAATATTTGCTAAACATCATTCTAGTATCCACACCAAGAGATATGTATAGTAGACGACGACATTCGAGTACATATTGTCATTGTTGACGTTGACATCATTGTTGTCATCTGTAAGAGCGTCCGTCTCATCCATTCTGTCCGTCTCGTTCAACCAGAAATGTGTTTAGATATTTAATCATTTCCTTAGAAGAACTCCAAGTGCTACTCCACGACGAAGTCAACTATATCAAAACATTGGTGTGTGTGTGTGTGGGTAAGAACAAAAAAAGTAAAGAAATGTACCATTTGGCAAGAAGAGCCGTCAACCAAGTGGCAGCATCTTCTTTCATATTACTTTCTTGGTCATCATCATATAGCTGCGAATGAAATCTGAATGTTCTATAAAACGAAGAAAAAAAGATACGGTATAAAGAGAAATTGTTTCTTTAGATGGGCTGCTGTTCTGCGGTACTTTACCATCAGCTAGCTATGAATTGCGGTACTAAAATTTCTATCTCTTAATCTGTACGTGCACACTCAGTTGCTTCTGTAATTATTCCCACCTTTATCTGTAAGGAGTTCATCTCCCTTCAGACACTGCTGGTGTTGATCCGTTTATTCTGCAAACACCATCAACTTCGTCACGATTATTTGTTTGTTGGATGGTCGTAACATTTGTTCACTTTTTCCTCAAACGCCATTCCATGCCTTGTCATTGGAATGATTTAAATACCTTGATTTAATGTTATTCTACTGTAACATTGTTTATTTGGTTTTTGTTCCTGCTGTTTTTGTAGTAATTGCTTTCGATTAGAAATTGAGATTTTTATTCTATAGATCATACACTACTGCCTCCAGTATTTGTTGTTGTTATAATGGTTATTCATTGGAATTGTTGTTAGGAAATATCTTGAATGAATCATTTCATAGTATTTGGCCAGATATCAGTGTCAGGTGTTCCATCGGTCGCTCGTTCGTTCGTTCACTCTTTCGATGCTGAATTACTCGCAGTGTTTGTTGTCTTGGAATTTTGTTGCATTTCTAATGTTTCATTATTTTTTTCTTTTTGTTTTTATTGTTGGAAGAACTTCCTGTTGGCAAGATTTATTTTCTTTGGAATTATTTAGCAGTGTTTGCTTGTTTCTTGTTTTAAAAAATGAAAATCTTGCTTGCTATAGTTTTGATTGATTTATCTTGATGGTGTTGTTTTTATAGATATTTTTTACTATTATGACTGGGTAATGTTGTTTTTCGTAGTATTTATTTATTATTATTTTTTTTTTCGTATTTAGTATCATGACCTAATTTCACACGAAATTGTTTTATTCATTATTCTAATTGTTAAAATTTCGATTTATAGTGAAATTTTATGAAATTGTTCATCAATGTGTGATCGAGAAACATTTTAATTATTTTTTCTTAAATATAAAACTTTTTCATCAGAAAGTCAGAACTTTGTAGGACGTGTGGGTCTGTAAGCTGATAAAACCTATATCCCATTTTCTACTTCTTAGAGGTTCATTTAACGGTGATATTATTCTAAAAAGTTTTCGTTTCTCCATGTTGCAGCCTCGACGAATTTAAATTCGTTAAAATCTGTCATGAACTAGCTTGAACCTTACTTGGAAAATGAGTTAAAACATGGGCCTTATTAAAAATTATCTTCAGAGAAAACAAATACACCAAATTGCAGAAACTATGATGGCAAATTACGATGACCTTTAACCCTTTCAGATCCAAAGACATTTTTCGTTTAGAGCTCTATATCTTAGTAATTATTCAAATGATAGAAAAATGTTATGGCTGGTTATTGTCCACTCAATTTGCCGAAAGTGCCCCTATCCGGTGTAGCATCGGTATTTGATGGGGGCACATTCGCCACCCATAGGTATAGCATGGTTATTTTCATTGATGTCAGGTTGGAATTCAGAAGCTCTAAAGGTTTTATTTTGTTGTAATATGCGACTCAATGTTTGACTTTTAAGACTATATTTTTTTATTGTTCTACGAAGTGAACAAAATGAAATTTCTTATCCTCTGAGAACCCGGAATACCAAATTTCAAGCACTTTGGTGGAAAAATACGACGAGGATCTTCATAATACCTACAAAGGGGCGGGATCTTTTTTGCTAGAAGTATTTTTAAATCTAAAAATACCGCCTGGGATCATCGAACTAACTTTTAAGTGGCGGTATATTATATTTTCTGCGAAGATGTTTATTACCCTCCAAAAAACGGGAATGCCAAATTACCCTCATGGCATAAGTAAAATGGGCTGAAGGCTCCAAATTAGGGTTATATTGAACATTTTACTTAAAGATGTGTGGACCCTTTATGAACCCGAAATGCGAAATTACAGACAATACGGTTGTAAAATGATTTTGGAACATTCGAATTGCGAAAAATCGTACCTTGTTTTTCTCCAATAACAACCCAGAACACCATATTACTGTAACTTCGATTTGAAAATGCAAAAATTTAGCACTTCTAGTTGGAGAATGCGACTAAAATTAATAAATACGATGCAAATGGCGCAGAACTTATTTTAACTTCACGGCCAATAACCAAAAAAGTATACATATATCAGCAATTTTAGTCGCAGTATAAGAATCGTTCTGATGGTCGCATGTTATCTGCAGAGATTTTGGGGAATACCAAAATGAGTCACCTGTAAAACAATAATTAAAAAAGCTTAACCCATTCGGATACTATGATGAAATTATCATAATTGTTGTAGATTTATTTCCACATAGACTATTTTATAAAAAATCCGCATGATAGTCCCATTTTTCGAATGAATTACAGCACTAATTTTGTGGGGTACAAATGTACCACATTTATTGATCTATGTGATAAATTTAAAAATTTATAAAAATCATATATATATGAAAAATTAGATTTGTTTCATCAATTATGAGTAAAAACACATCAAGAATGATTCTTCAAAATTTGATCCAAATGTTACCATTATTAAAAAGTTTACAACATTTTTAATCAAAAAAGGTACAAACGTACCCGGTACCATATCAGTTTATGGGAGCTGCACCAAAATTTTCGGATTCAATACCAATGATCCTAAGAGTAGTTGCAATGTATATAAAAACTTGCAAAGCTTTATCTAAAAAATTGCGACCCATATGGTTAGTGCAACAGACGAACATGGGTAAATCGACGTAGAGTATTACGATAAGAATATTTAGAGGAGTTAAATTGGAAATTCTAAATTTTTTCATTTCACTTTAGGTTGTAGAAATATTCACTAAAATCTACATATGCCTTTCCATCTTGATTGCTTTCATTTCAAATGTAATTTTTCTTGGTTACTGCTTAAGCATGTACATAATTTCATAAAAAGGTAGTTTAGTCTAAGATCTTTTAATATTTTGAGATGTTTAAGACCCACGCTCTCTTCACATCTCTCTTTATCACCTAGAAAGCCCCACAAATTATTAAAAAACGATTATTTGCCAACAATGTTCCGTCAACTGTTAACAAGATTTCGAGATCTACAACTAAGATATAGTTGTGGAAAATCGATTATCAATAACGTCATGGACTTATGATAGCTGAAAAACATTAGAAGCCAATTGGCCACTAACAACTTGTACCATATTCTGCTTATAACATATGTCAGACCAAGAAATTATTTCTTTGAGGTATTAAATTAACGTTGTTGGCGTAGATTTGGTAGAGGTTCTCAATGTCGTATAGATTCCCAATAAAAGATGACTCAAGGTATTCTCGATGACCAATTGTGATCACCTCTTCGAGAGATAGCACAGTCAGGGAACCTTTCCCATAAAAGAGCTATGGTTTCGTTGCTCGAGACGAACCTAACACCGCCTTGTTAAAAGTTATTGATGTCCAGATCAATCACCTTTAATAAAACTTTATTTATCAAGGGAATTCTTAAAGAGTAAAAGCTTCTAAAGTGACAGCTACCTAATTTGAAAAATTTGCTTGCATTATTCACATTTTTTTCTTTTATTTATTTTTTTCAAATTTTTGTAATGATAACTCATTATATTGTAATGCAAAGGGTAATGACATGTATTTACCTAGTTTTATTTTCAGAGGTTATTAATCAAATTTCATTACCTCAGACTTATAAATCCTAGACACCTTTACAAGATAGTTTTCATTTCTTCAAACGATGAACTATAAATGAAAATAGTTATCATCCATCACAGCAGCGCGTTAACGGCCACTTTATTGTGCCGGCAACCAAGTGAGAAAATTAATTTTCTTAATGTTTGGTAATTTATGAAAGAGAAATACAACAAAATACACTAACAAGCAAAGAAAACAAAAACGCTTGCAAAGTATGTACGCGATACAAGTAAATTAAACAATGTAATTGTGGGCATATTTCATTTGCTTTTTATCTGATCAAGAAGAAACAAAAAAACCAAACAAAAAAAAAAACGCAATAATAATTTAATATTGATTGTTGGTGGTGGCGCGATGTTTGTTTTTTATGCTGATTTCAAACGTCAACAGCCCCTCAAGTCGAGCAAATCTATCGTGATGATAATGCCTCCACGAAAATGTTGAACAAAATAAAGAAAATTAAACGATTTTCTTAAATTAGTTATTAATTAAATGAGTAATACTCATTGGCGTATAATTACTTTATTTGGAAATACTTTACAGAAAAAAAAATTATCAAAAAAAACAAGCAACGAACTGATATCTCATTACAATGATTAGTTGTAATCATTTTTTTTTTTTTGCGAATAATTTACTAAATTATGTTTTTTTGTTTTCTTTCTTCTCTGTTTCCAGTGAACAAAGTATTATTGGGGCACGTGCCTCTGTCATGGTCTACGATGATAACCAAAAGAAATGGGTGCCATCGGGCACTTCATCGGGTCTCAGTAAGGTACAAATCTATCACCATCAGCAGAATAACACATTTCGTGTTGTTGGCCGCAAACTACAGGACCACGAGGTTGTCATCAATTGTTCCATATTAAAAGGACTGAAATATAATCAAGCCACTGCCACATTTCATCAATGGCGCGATTCCAAATATGTCTATGGTCTCAATTTCTCAAGTCAAAATGATGCTGAAGCCTTTGCTAGGGCTATGATGCATGCGTTGGAGGTAAGTTTTGAGAAAAAATATATAAATAAATGTAATATAATATTAGATTATGATTACCTTTTATGATTAGATTTATTTGATTTTGACACTCTCGACACTCAACTGGATTCAAAAATACACCTTCAAATCTCTTGTTCTAATCAAAAAATAATATTTTTATCCTTTTTATTTCTGAAGTAGGTTGTATTCAAGTAACCTTCAGCATGATTTATACACTTTTTCATGCCCTCAAAAAAATTTACGAATCAGCTGTTCGTCTCCGACTGAAACACCCTCAAAACATGGTCTTTCAATAGCAACTTTTGGCTACAAAAAAACGTTTGTGAATAAAAAGAATTCATTTGGTGTCAAGTTAAGCCTGTACGGCAGATGTCCTTTAAATTTCAAGCTTTAGCCGGTCAAAAAAAAAAAAAATACTGTGGTTTGAGTCGATATGTGAGAGTTCCAAATTTCTCCGAAGATTTTAGTCAAACAAATTGTGGCTACCATTCTGAATTGACCTTCCTCGGTTGCTCAAGCAGTCGAACAACATTCCTTGAATTTAACGAACACGAGTTCGAAGGCTCACTGCTGTTTTGTGTCGATATAAAAGGAAGCCTATAGATCAAGAATCTTATCGAGCAGCATTCAGAGAAGTTGCCGACGCGTTAAATGAATACAGAGTGAATGCCATACTCCGATCTGATCCACAGCCGATCTCAGCTAAACTAGAGTAGTTTTGGGTCAACAACGTTCAAAATTCATTGGGCATATGAATTATGAATATATGGTCACACTCATAATACGATTAATAAATCATCTAAAAAACCTGTACCCGAGCAGTGCTAGCCACAGCCCAAAAATTGATCCTGTCGATTATCCTGATAAGAAAAAGGATACAAATCAAATTTTTTAATTCAGTGGCCCACAATCTAGAGACGCTGCATAATTCGAAATTACAGGACTATTCGGGTTAATATTCAGACCACCACATTGTATTTATTAAACTGGTCCACCGAGTCTACTCATCTTGCTCCAGAAGATCTATGGTTCATTTCATTTCACAATCTGGAGACTAATCCAGGACCTGGATAAATTTAACAGGGAAATGAACGACGGCATGTGGTGTCCAAACAACATATTACAAATATTTTATCAGAGGTCTTTGTCGCACTCATGATAAAACTCCCTAATAAACTACTTTATTATTTATTATCATTTTTTTTTTAATATCATTCACATCTGTCATATGTCTCTATTAATTTCAAGAAAAATTAAAGAAAATAATAATTATCCCTTTTCCATTTTACAGGTTCTCAGTGGACGTGTTGCCAATAATCCAGGACAACCAACAAACGGTAATGGTTATGAAGAAGATATGGGCTATCGCACAATGACCAGTGAAGATGCTGCCATCCTAAGGCAGCAACAGCAGATAACAGGCCAAGTAACACCATCGGCACAGACACCCACTTCACAAACAAATCAAAATAATATACCACAAAGCCCACCGACACCACAGCAGGGACATCATCGCACCAGCAGGTTAGTAGAGTTGTTGCCAACATCAAAACATCATCTCTGTGTCTCTCTGTCTCTATCTCTCAGTTTCATACACCATTTCAACTAGGCATTGTCAATGTTAGAATAATGTTGTCTTGATTTCTCTCAAAAGTCTCCTTAGGGGGATTATGTTTTTCTTTTTTCATTTATTTATTATATAACAGATAAGATAGAATAATTGCTTGAAACAATATGTACTTAACTAGAATTTGTATTTTTGTCTTATTTTCTTTTTTGTCATTTTATTTTTCGGTTTCATATTTCATTTTGATGTCCACCATGTCCTTTGGTTACATATTCCGTTACGTATTCATCTTTGAACAACAACTTCAACGAAAATAAATCATCACACACCACTACTATCATCACCAATGTTGTCTCTCGTATTGGATAATCATCACTTAACTAACCATCACCATTCTTGGATGTCTATCTTAATAAACCATGTCTGTCAAAATCGTAAAATCGTGATTACGACGATGTCAATTTCTTGTTTTGTCAACATCCATGGAACGTCAAATGCAAATGCTTGTTTGTATTGATTGACACACAAATACACACACACATCCCATATTCACCTCATACACCCATTCACAAAATTTTACACTTTTTTGTTTTCTAATAACATTTTCTTCACTAATCGATTGGATGTTCAAAACTATATTGCTTGCATTTTGTACTAACTCCTCTCTGTCCTACACTACATACCTAATTGTCCGTTTAATAATTTTCACAACACCACAATATCCTTAAAATATTCTACCACTTTGCCTGCCTCTATTGTTTTATACCAAAACATCCATTCCTCAAACAACTATTTGTGTAAAAAAAATTCCCTCCAAACAATCACAAAAAACCAAAATCACACACACCACCAAAATTGCATATGCCAAAATTTGACTTAAACACTAAAGGAATTCCCTTAGTGCTCCAGCAGCACCACAGCCACCACAAATGCAACAACACCAGCAGCAGCAACAACAACAGCATTCAATCTATGGGCACACAACTGGACCAACACAAAACGGTATGCAACAGCATCCACAGCAACAACAACAGCAGCCGCCAATGCAGCCACAACAACAACAGATACCACCAGGACCGGGTCAGCCGCAACAACAATCATACCATACTCCGTCACAGATGCAACAAACGCAACAGCAACAACAACTCCAGCAACAGCAGCAACAACATGCGCTCTATGCCACACAACAAATGGTCAATGCTGGCGGTTATCAGCAGCAACCAAATCAGGTTAGTACTCCACTCCGAAACCCCACAAAACAAAATTGCCTTCATAGTTGTTATTCGTTTTCCCCCAAAAAAATTTATTTTTTTTCTATTTGTTCTTTTTTGTTTTTTGCTATAATTTGAATATTTGAACATTTGTTCAATTGTTTTTTTTATTGTTATTTATTCTCTTTGTTTCCATTTGGCCTAATTTATTATTTTCTGCATTTATTTGGTTTTTCTCTGGTATGGGTATTTTCTTTCCTTTTATTATTTGTTATTTTAGATGAGGTCAATTCAAATTTGTCTTGATTGAAATTTTTTTATGTTTTCAATCATGAGATGCAGAGCATATATACAGGATATCCTTGTAATTATTCATTTTAAACGATACAAATTAATGACCAACCTATAATTTTAAGTCGGTTTAAATAACTGCGCTCCCTCACCATATAACTTCTATGCTTGGTTTCATTTGTGGACGTCCAATCTCCAATATAGATAGATGCCCTCACTCAGATAACTATATATTTTTTTAATATCTTGAACGAAATAAATATACCTTCAGCACCTGAGAGTCCCAGTTTTTTTTTCAACATAGAAATGCTCAAGAACATTTTTATAATAAATATATTGCTTGCTTCAAAATAAGGTTCGGCTGGGGCCTTAATATCTTCATCCGAAATAAATTTCTTCCCAGAGGGCTTTTTAAAGCTAGCAAAAACAGAGGAAGCAAAGGCAATTTGCAACAATTAATTTTCCTTCACATACCGTTCTTCTGAGCGATTTCTGTTTACAAATCTACCAGAAAGATCATGCCAAAGAGGTCATAGTTACTACATGACCAGATACACTGATTATAGCGACTTTCCACCTATGCGAAGTAATGTTTGTATTACGATTTGCTCTTTACTTCGAAATACGTTTTTATCACCCAAAAAATGTTTCCAGATATCCTTTTTGAGATCTGACGACTCAATAGACGCTGGGGTGCCAAATCTGAAGAATACTATGCAGCAGCACTTTCTTTTTCTTCAAATTCGATCATTTTAAAGCGAGTCTACAACCCTCCCAAGAAGGGAGATATTTATTTATTTGACCTTATAAGGAAGATACACTGGTTATAACGACCTCTTTTATCTTTAAAATATGCCTTGTGTTAATCCGACGAAAATGTCTTTCTACCAATTATGTTTGAGATCTGAGAACTGAAAATATTCACTGGGGTCCATATGTGGAAGAAGCACAAAATGTTATTCTTTGCCAAACACGTCAATGTAACTTTCCGGTTTTGTATGACCATATTAGATGATCATCGAAGTAAGATACCCTCATTATAGCGACATTCCAATATTACGATACAATTTTTTCTTTGTTTCAAAATAGGCCTCAGCTGCATAGTTGAGCAATTTTTATTCTTATTACTTTCAGGAGGCCTTTTGAAGGTCATCGATTGGATTGATATTTCGTAACTTTCCCTACGAGAAGGAAAAAACGATTTGAAGACCTCATTCTTCCTTTATATAAAACTTTCCTTTGCCAATAAAGCTCCATAAGCCTAGTATCGGTTTTGAAAATGACACACCAGTGGGGTTTATTGTAATCGTTTTTGCTTTTTTAGTCGCAGTTTAGACAATTTAGACACGCCCGTATCTTCCAACTCTCCGGTTAATGATGCCTAAGACTTTGACGCCTTTGCAGACTCTTTCAATGTATTGTGTGCGCAGAAGTAATCCACTTGTCCAGATCTATTTCGACAATTGTAACCCATTGGAAGAACATTTACTTTCAAGCTTCTTGTCAAACTAAATATTATCGAAGATTTATTTACGTCTTTATCAACGTACTAGTTGCGATAATTCATTGGTCTCCAATACTAATTTTTGTCCATAGCTTCTTGGACACTTTGATAAGTCGGAGATACCGATAAAGTATTCATTCATTCAGGCAGAATTATGTTTACTTTTAAATGTATGCCCGTTGGGTGTTATATAAAAACTGCGGAAGAATTAGGACCAAACATATTCTACTTTAGAATATAGTCATCCTGTGAATATAAATATTTTTCTTGTTACGGAGAAGTATGAACTGTAAAAAAATGGGTTTCAATGATATAAAATATATCATCAGCCGATACATTTTTATTAGGGATCTTCAACAATTATCTCGAAGTAACCTTCATCCGATACCATAATGCAGGAATTTCATTAAAATATTGGACACTTTCCTAACTAACTATTCAATTGGGGGCAAATAATTTAGAAGAATTCCGTTTGCTTTTAAGATGTTGGCCCGATCGGCAACTATATTCCAATCCTCTTTAAAATTGTAATTTCATATTTCGAAACAATTTTGATTTTATGAATTTTTTATTACAAATACCTGTATAATATTGCAATATTTAAAGTCTAGTTTTATTTTTTTCTATGCTGATGTATCACATATAGTATAGTTTTCCACAAAGATCTACTATTGACCAGTAATATATAATGTTCATCCCTTATCAAACTTTTCGTATTTTTACAATGTGGCCTCTTCCATAAAAGTTGCCCATCCAAATTAATTATGTTTTATAAAATCCCCATACATTTTTACAAAATTTAATTTTATGTTATCTTTGCATTCATTTTCATGTTTTTTATTTTAATTTTTATACAATATGTTGCTTTTGTTTTAATTACTTATTTTTCCTTTTTTGGTTTTTGGGTCCCCCTTATCTTTATATTCCATGTATTGCATGTTAAATTCCAAAAAAAAACTTCTTATTTAATGAAAACAAAATTTCACAAAAACAAATTTGATTTGTTGTTGTTGTATTATATTTTCTTTCATTTGATTTCTTTGTTTGTATCTTTTTTATCTCATTCCATTTCATGCCTGAACGCTTCACAACTTTACAAAAAATAAAATAATTAAAAAAATTGTAAAAAACCACAAAACTACTGCTTGATCTGATCCTATCATCATAAAATATAAATATACAATTATACTCCTGCTCAATTCAATCAATCAACCCACCTACGAACGAACGACCGACCAACCAACCAATGATGATTGCAATCATTCAATCATTTTCCATTTAATGATTGACTAAATCACATTCAAACCAACAAAAAAAACTGGTTGAATGTTCTAAAAATGCTACAAAATTTCTCCCAATCTTCCTAAATGAAACAACCATCATCTCTGTCCCATCAAATCTCAATCTGAAACCGAATTTGAATCTGACTCTGAACCAATCAACCTATGTACCTCTACTCTACACAACATAGTATCAGCAATCCCACTATGTCTTGTCGAATTCTAATCCAAATCTTAATATGCATCAATATCCGCAACAGCAGCAACTCGGTGGTGGAATGATACCTCAGGCACCCCAACCTCCCATGCCACCGCCACATCAGAACGGCGGCGTTCCTCACTATGTGTCTTCGCAGCAACAAATGGGACCAGGCGGCATCTCGAATTCGCAGAGTGCCAATAACGTTTACGGCAGTCAACCGCAACAGATGGGCGGTGGCGGAATACCGATGCCACCCCAACCGCCACAGCCACCGGCAATGCCAAACGGCCCGCCAGCGCCACCAAATGCATATGGACAAATGAATGGTGGTGGTCAGGTACAGCAAACAGAGAATCCCTATGGCCAGGTGCCTGGGGCACCGCCAATGATGCCAGTCAATAGTAATGCTCCCGTTGGTAATGTACCTATGCCACCGCCACTCAATCGTATGAGCAGTAGTACTGGTGGTGGTCCAGGTGGTGCTCCCGGTGCACCAGGGGCACCAGCTCCTCCACCACCACCAGCATTTGGTGGTGCTCCGCCCATGTTCAATGGTAATGCTGGCGGTGCAGGACCAGTTCCACCACCACCACAACCTCCAGCTCCACCAGCGCCACCAGCAATGGGAGGCGGAGGAGCAGGTCCCGCAGGACCAAGCGGTGGTGGCCCAGCAGCACCTCCACCGCCTCCACCACCACCAATGGGTGGAGGAGGAGGTGGTTCTGGATCTGCAGCATCAGCCAAGAAAGAAGATCCTCAAGCAGATTTAATGGGTTCGCTGGCTGCCCAGTTACAGCAGGCCAAATTGAAAAAGAAGGTAAGTACATTTTTTTGCTATAATGACCAACAGATATCAAATGTTAATGAAATTTGTCTATTATTCCCCAGTCCACACCAGCTCCCACAGAAAACAGCGGCAGTAGCACACCCAGCGGAGGCAGTGGCAATTATGGTACCATTGGACGTGGTGGTGGTGGTAGCGGCGGTGGTATGGCCTCTATGATGGATGAAATGGCCAAGACATTAGCAAGGCGACGTGCTCAGGCCGAAAAGAAAGATGTAAGTTGTATTGTGTGTAATTTCTCATAGCACTTAAATAATATTGTTATGCTCTTTTTGTATATAGCCTGATTCGGAACCCGAAGTAAAACAACGACCTTGGGAAAAATCCAATACATTACCACACAAATTGGGCTCCTCATCATCGGCCAATTCCAGCAATTCATGCAATGCAAATTCCTCACACAATACATCGAATAGTGGTAGTGAGTCACCTCGACCCATGCGAAAACGTTTCGGTAGTGCCAGCGAAGAAACGATACTTAAGGTAAGGCTTTATTTGTAAAAAAGAAGAGTAATTTGTTCAAGTAGAGAGTTTATGAAAGAAAAAAACGTACAATTCCTGGTGCATATATCAATTTATTGTAAAAGTCCAAACCAAAACCTTAGCCATAAAGTGATCTGGCCGATGCTCAATTATTGGGAATGCCGTATAATTGACTGTTGTGGGAGCGATATTTTCGATATTTCGGCCAATCCCCACACCGAATATGTAGTCTCAAATTTTGCACCAAACTAGGACGATTATTACGACCAACAAATGGAATTAACCTCTTCGTTCGTTCGTGTACATTACCATTATGTGTAGTCCACTTTGGAAACCCCTTTAATATATTGAACAGTTGTCTCTTTATGTTATGATATTTGGAATTATTATTTCTATTTATTCCAATTTTTTATAAGAATTTTTTACTTATATAAATTTTTCTCCACACCTAGGTCAATGGTGATGGATTATCTGTAGCGGGATTATCCAATAGTGATTTGGAACAATTAAAGGCTGAAATTGTTAGAGAAATGAAAACGGAAATACAAAAAGTAAAACAAGAAATCATAGAAGGTAAGTGTGCCACTAATTCTCAATTTCATAAAAATGAACAAGTCCCCAAATAACACTTCATTTTCTTCTCTTTTCATTGCAGCTATCAAATCTGAGTTTAACCGAAGATAAAAGAATTATCTTTAGTCAAATAAATAATATTTTGGATCTGATAACTTATTTTTAAATAATTATAAACAAAGAGAAAGAAAAACATAAGAAAACGAAAGGATATCTACAAGTGTAAGAGCATGTACTGGCTAAAAAAAAAAAATATTTTTTACTTCCCAAAATCATTAACACAAATCGTCAAAGCCTCCAAGCGGAAAACAACAACAACAGCAATTGCCGTGTTCATTTTTTTACACGACGAGTTATTCAATTCCCCGCCACAATACCCTGCAGAAACGTTATTAAAACATGGTTTTTACAAAGCAATTTATTGGAACACACTCACATACACTCATACACAACAGACACGTGAAACACCCCAAAAAATATACGAAAACGATTTAAGGAGTACATATATATATAGCTATTTATATATATAGTAATATAAATATATATTAAATAATTAATAAAAACAAAACAAAACACATATTATTAATAATAATATACATTAAAATTATAAATAATATTATAATGAATAATGGAACGAAAGAAAAAAAAACGATTGAAAAAAAAATTCCACTTCCAAACAACAAATATACCAAATTGCAAAACATAACACAATCAACCTTTGGCCCAACCTCTCACTCGTTCCTTCGCCCGTGCAACAAACAACCAACTATAACCGTAACATTTCCACTTCCTTTGTAACCACAACAAACAACATCAAGAAAAAACGCGAAGAAACTCATTTCTTTTTTAAAAGAAACATCAACGCTAAATCTCCATATATCTGTAGAAAACTGAACTGAACACAAAAACACACACACAGCAACACAAATGTATTTTATTTTTTAATTATATTATATATATTTTTTATATGTGTTAAAAGATAAAATTTATGTTTAATTCTATATTTAATATTATTATTATTGTATTAAAAGAACAGCAACAACAAAAAAACAGAAACAACAAAATTATTATTAATAAAGAGAAAAAAATCTTATAAATTTAGCTAAATCCAAACAAAAACCCCAATTGTTTTATATTTTGTATAATACAAATATGTTTCTTAGTTAAGAATTTAGTAATAGTCATCTGAGCATGATACATTCATGTTGAACATTGCTGTAATACATACGCATAATTTCAGCATTGCATATTCAGCTGCATTTATGTTTTTTTTCGAAATCATTTAATTCAGTATCATCCTTCATAAAATTCATTAGACATGTGTAAAATTGGGAATAATTCTTCATATATGAAGAAGCAACTTCTAATTTAATAGTCACGTGACTAAGCTGTGTTTGTATACTCATGAACCTTAAGGCTTCATAGAGATTTAGATGTCATAGATAGCATGAAGTCGAGAAAGAATTGTATTTCACTTACGCCAAGTAGTAGAAAACTGACATTGAAGATGTTGAACCGTTCGAATGTTTCAGCACCATTATATGCAAGGCATTGGTCTTCTGCGACAATGATTTGATATACAGTTAATCACACAAGTAAGAATTCCAGGCGCGTCGGTCTTGTTCGCAGCTCTTTCAATCTAAAAGACCATGTTCTCAAATGTTTTCTTCCGCTTCTTCCTTCCAACGCATTCGTGGCCTTCCCCTTCAATGTGAACCATCAGTCGGCTCGCTTTTATATACCTTTTGAGCTGCAGCATCCTCATTCATTCTCACGACATATCAGACATTTCGCTGCAGCTCGATACGTCTGAGTATGTCGATGTCGGAGAATAAATGGTGCAACTCATGGTTCATTCGTCGATGAAGTTCCATAGTTGGTCCGAGTCTACTGGACGTCTGGCGGGTTGATACTACCAGCTTGGTCTTGTCGCCATTTACTGCAGTCACACTTTGGCAGACTTCTTCTCAATTCGTTCAAAGATGGCTGTTACCGCTCGCAATGCTCGATCCATTTCATTGCCATTGTGCATCTATATTATTATCGAGAAAATGAGTGATATCGACTAGCAAATTGGTAAGTTGAACGGAGTAGGAGCCTTCTGCTACATTTTGTGTTTGCAGATTTTCGACGTCGAGTTTCCGTGTTAGATCGCACCTTTGCTGCTACGTTAAGACGAGTGTGAATATTGGCTCCTCCAAGGTAATGGTTCGAATAGATATTCGTTCCTCGGATAGATCGAATGTCTAAAACACTGGATGAATACCTCTCGTATGTCACAATATGATCAATTTGATTCCTCGTTGCTTGATCTGGAGAAATCATGGTGGCCTTATGTATATCGATATGCTTGAATCTGATGCTGCTAACTACCAAGTTATTTGTTGCCGCGAAGTCAATCAACCTCATGCCGTTAACGGATGTTTCTTCATGGAGGTTGAATTTTCCGACGGTGAAGCCAAAAATATTCTCAATTTCGGTTTTTGCATTAAAATTTCCCAGCAAAATTTTAATGTAATGGCCAGGGCAGGCTCTCGTAAATATGTCTTTGTAGGACAAAAAATCGGCTTGTACTTCTTGAGAACATTCGCCGGCAGCTAACCCGACGCTTCAACCCATTTTTTAATAGTTTTTGCGGGTGAACTCGTGGCACATATCAGCTTAATATTTTAACGGATGATGAAAGCAGCTACCTCAGGTGGAACCGCGGGGAGATCAGTGTCCACAATTGAGAAGAAAGAGGGACCAAGATAAGCCTGGACTTTGCCATGTAAAAGCCAATCAGAGCCGTTTCTTGGTATCTTTCATCCCTTACGTCACCCAGCTTGTTAACTACCCATCAGAAAATTAAAAAATTAAACGACTTAATATATATTAATCGTTTTAATCAAAAATACATGGAGCTAATTGACAATAGATTTAATTAAACCTAACATTATCTGAATAATTATATTCGAATTTTTGATTACCTCTTATACCATCTGCAGATATTGAATCGGAATCTCCAGATATTGAATCGGAATGTTTGATATAAAGAACAGCTGGTAATATTTTATGTTATGCGATTGAAATGTTCGGAATTATTTCTTGTAATTTGAGAGACAATATGCAGATGGAGAAAGGGGTTTCCTTCATATGGGAAATTACAAAAATCTTTTAAATTCTTTGAAACTGAGGTTTGCAAGGTTATAACTCGCGAAATATGAACATAATGCATATAATTTAAATTCATTTCTATAAAATGAAGTGTTCTTGTCAAAATCTTAAAATATTGGTAATAAATAATAAGTTGCGTGGAAGCTGTGATGGTGCTAATGTAAAAAATGGGTGGAAGTGTTTTGAATCCAACGAGTTTGTGTTCCTTCTTGATATGTGGCTTAACTACACAACGCACGCACATGTGATCAGTGACTAAGTTGCAGAATACCCCATGGACAATATGGTTCTAATGTATGATTTTTCGATATAATAACTGCATCCACACAAAATGGATGCTGACATTTTGAATCCGGATTTTCGGTGTTTTTTTTAATTTTTCTTATAATTCTTATAATTAATGGACTAAAGTAATTATAGGATTGTAGAACTCGTGATTTTGCTTCGTTTAGTGTATATCTCATGAATGTGCTCACCGTAGCTTTTTTGCAATTGGGTTCCAAAGACGAAAATTTTGTGTGTAAATTTTTATAAAAAAAACATATTTAATTAAAATTAAGAAAGTCCATTCAAATTCCGTGGAACCCCGCGTGATTTTAGTTTTTTTACTTGCCGGATCTAATGAGCCCATTCATGTTCAATTCCGCCCAATAAAACGGTGGATATAGGTACCTTGAATGTGGGAAAAACTGCAAAAACTTATTTTGACAAATTCGAATTAATTTTACCTACATTCATTCTGGTGTTATCATATTCGCGAATCTGTGTGAAAATAGGTCAAAAATATATCGATACGCGAATAATATGCGTATTTTATCCAAAATCGATTGTGGAGGCACATCCGCGGTTCTTAACCGATCCTTTTAAAATAGGTGTCTTTTGTGTATTTTCATAGGCATCGAGCGGCACACTTTGGCCGCTTTTTTTTAACTATCCCTAAGCACGTTGGGGACTAAAAAAAGGGGGAAAGAAAAGGGGAGGGGATACTTGGCGAACTCTCTTTTAGAGAGGTAGGGGGTATATTGCCAAAACAGACTTTGTCTGTGTGTCTTCTTGTTATATTTGTGATTTTGTTTCTTTTATGAACTTGACCATATCATGTAGATGTTCCCAGTGATGTTTGGTTATGAAATCTTCGACGGTGAAGATTCCATTGAAGGATTTGTACTTCTGATGTTGTCATGTTTGGTGCAATTGAACAATATGTGTGAAATGGTTTCTTCTGTGTTGCATGTTTCGCAGTCAGCAGAGGGTACCACATTCATTTCATAAAGGGTGCTCTTGCTGAATGTATGGTTGGCCAAAATTCGATTCATCATCTTCTGGTCGTCAGGGTGTAATTTAGATTTTTTTATACCAGGGGGTTCTTTCTGGTTTGTTCTCTGCAATCCTGGAGTATTTCTCTGACCAGTCTTCCCATATTTTGTCTTGTATATGGTTTATGGCATCACTTTGGCCGCCTTATGAAACCTCAAAAAATGCATAATTATTGGAAGAGATTTATTCGGTTTATATGAAAACCGCATGCCCACCAACTAATTTCAACTAATACGCGAACTGTATGCTTTTAAATGTTGATAATTTTCATATACTGTAACTGCAATATATTTGGTAATTTTTCAAGTCAAAACTCTTAACAGAGGAAGAAATCGTCACGTGTTGTAGAAGATGTAGACTAAATCGTATTATCTTAACCATACCAAAAAATCAAAAATTGAAAAAAAACATGTTATGGCAATTTCATGGTTTTCGCGACTATTATACCGTATTTCAATGTGATTTGACTAGTATGCAAAGTAAAGAAATGTGTTTAACCATTTGTGAAGAAATTCTCGAATTACAACAAATAGAAATTAATTTAATTTAAATTTTAAATACAATATTTAAAACCGCTATAACTTTTGTGTACAGCATCCGAATTTATGAACGCGAACAGATTTTGAATCAGCATATTTTCATTAACCTATGTACCAAAAATCATTAATGTGCTCGCAAAAAAATTTTTTTATGAAATTTTAAAGGAATTTTGTAAATTCCCATATGAATTGGTTTTTGCTAGATATGTTATTTATAGAAAGTGGTAAGTATAATTCAAGGTAGGTAAATAATTATGAAGTATCTTCTGCTGAAATCAAGTCAAATATGGTGTGCGATATGTGGAAAATATGTCGGGGTTTTATTTTATTTCTTCATTAAAATTAAAATAAATTATTTTCAATAACATTAGGTATAGCAAAAAAATTTCTTGATTGTCGTTTCCATTCTTATATATATTAGAGCGCGTTTAGACTACTAAATCCACTCGATTTCAAATTTAAATTCCATAGCGTATACACCACGTTAATCCTGTTCACAAATCCAGTGTATTTTTGATCTCTATTTCGTAAATGTAAACGCTCTATTCCAATAATTCGATTGAATCCAATCCAGATTTTTGAATTGCTGCTCCGACTCTCATTACGGTATATTATGTGACAATTTATTACATATATTCGTTATATTCTTTACTAGAAAAAATATTATTAAAGATTCGAATAAAACTTCTATATTATGAAAATTTTTTCACAATATAGGAAATTATTATTGCATTGTACGAGTTAATAGAATTCAAAATTATAAGCTAAAATTAACTATTTCAATACTTCAAGTCGTTATTATTTTAATATTTACGGAATACCACAACCTTCCTAGTTGTTATACCCTTCACCACACTGTGGTACAGGGTATTATGTCTTTGTGCATATTTTTTCATTTAAAAATGCAAGTTCACAAGTATTGAATGTGGTTCATTGTGTTTTATTTCCTCACATCAATTGTATTCATTGTAAACTGTATATAATTAAATAGTTTTATAATAATAAAGCATACTTTTAGGAGTTCGTATTTTATAAATTTTCGATTTATAACAAGGTGACCATTCATGTTTTTGAGTTAAATAATGATAATACATCAACAACGTTTATCAGTCATTTTTTAATTTTTTTTTTTTGATAACATACAACAATTGTTACCATATATTATTAATATAACATCAATACACAGCTCACGAATACAAATCACATATGTATAGAAAGCTAATTACACACAAATATGCATTTAATGTGCTTAACAATTTTATGGAATAAATGAAATAATAGACATGAAATATAGAGGTCGATACCGATTTGTTGCAAACGAATCAATAAAATTATTGGAGAGTTATAGGTTAAGGCTCATGATTTTAAAGATTTGTGGTGACAGTTTTGGAAAATTCCCTTTGTATATATTTTTCCGATGTCACCAAAACTTCTTTCAAAATCCTACATATATGGACTCAAAATAAATCAAATCTGAAATAGTTGCAATGATATATTCAAACGAAAGTTGAAAATGTATTGTAAAATAGTCGTCGATATTTTATATGAGATATATGAGTTTTTGAATTGATTGACATTAAGAATTAGTTTGTACATTATTAAACAGTGAAAAAGAACAACGTATATATCTAAGTTAGTGAGTGAGTTATTTTATATATGTAAGTGTAATGTAATTTGTTTTTATACATTTTTATATAACTACATAATAGAATATACAACTATTTAATTGCAAATTAATTTAATAACACATAAAACTACATTTCATTCTCCCATCACGTGATTATGACATACCTTCAGTCCACACGGTCGTTATTTTCCGTACAATTTTGTTTCTGATATCTTCCAACGATGACGACTTATTGGCAAATATAAATAAATTCATTTACATGGCCCAAGTATTGATTCATGTGGATTTTTATCTGCATAATAATGGATATTTTGTCTATGGAGGAATCCATTATGCCAAATATGAATTGAAGTCAATGAAAATTCTCTATAAATTGGTACGAGTAATTTTGGAGAACATATAAATATATGTATGTTCCAAAACCTGCAAGAATGTAAAATTTTTTACAACGATAACAATTTTTCCATTATGATATCGAAAAAAATTGTAGATTCTAGCAGTTTTGAAACAGACTATACAAATAAAACCAGTGAGCGGAGCAGTATAGTCGGACGGGGCCGACCATACGATACCATACACAACTACCACAGAACTCCATCTTTCTGCGTTTTTGTATTGCGATCCTGGATAATATTTCGTGATAGTTGCACCCTCTTGCCCGATTAGAGGTCAACAGAAATTTTTCCATACACTGACATACTTTCCACATACTACAAATATTCAGTACAGCCCTTTTAATTACTTGTCCATATTCCCTTCACCGTGGGTTGTGTTGTGATGTTCGGCTTATAATTGTAGCCTATATACCGAATCAAAAAAACACAAAAAATAAGTTTTCGGTCCACTTCATCACAAAATTATTATCTAATCATCACCGAAAATTATAGGCATTATCCTTAACCATAACTGAAACCTCATGAAACATTTCAAAGCGATCAGCGCTATATTTCCGCCCTCTAGTGTGGTAATGGTTTATTAAATAATATCTGAATACGGAAGCACCTGTAAATATTTACGTGTAATTCCCACATCCGAGTACATACGACAATATAATTGGTATCAATTTAAAGGTCAACTCCTCCTCTTGAATATACTGTCAACTTCACTGGTCTATGTCCTTCAGGAGTAAATATATACGCTATAGAATACAAATTTTTTAATTTTTCACACAAAAGTCAGGGTCCATTTGACCAGCTAAATATTGACCGATCTTTATCAAAACAGGCATGCCTACTCTTTGGCCCAGTCCACTTCTCCATGTAAAAATTCGAGATGTTTGGACCATAATTGCGACCTCTGGAGCGACCAGAAAACCCGACAAAAATTCAGTATTTGGTCCATTTCATCCCCTAAATATTAAACGATCTTTACTAAAAACAATAGGGGTCTTCATTGGGTCGAACCCATCCTAAATGCAAAATTTCGTGAAGATTGGTCCATAACTGTGGTCTGTATCGTGTTTACAAATTATAATGGACAGACGGACGGACGGACACACATGTCTAGATCGATTCAGCTAGTCGAGATATGACGATCGGTATACTTAAAGGTGGGTCTAGGACCAATATTTCGCGGCGTTACAAACTCATGGGGCTGCACAAAGCTATAATACCCTGACAACATAGTTGTGTAGGGTATAAAAATCATGTTGGTGGGTATAAATGTTTATAACATTTAGTATTATTGTAACCCTGTTTTTAATTTAATTCCAAATTTTTATTTTTTATTAAATTAAAAGAAAAAACTACAATTCGTTTCACTATTATATTTCTCCATTATAACATTAAATCCCAAATGAAATGTAAACTAAAATTAAATTCTGTAATTAATATATTGTGTTTACTTGTTCTTAATATTCCAAACAGAAATGTGAAATAAAAAAATTGTATTTAATAAGAGTTGAAGATTTTATAAGAGAAATAATTGATTAAATGTATATTTGTTGGTTATGTTCATACTTCTACCCTCTATCTCTCTCTTAATGTATTCTAAAATTTTGCTAAATGTTACACATGATTATGAAGAAATAACTTATTATACATATATTCAAAACTAATCAAATTAAAATTTGAAACAAATTAAAGAAAAATAAAATCTATAACATTCATATATTCATTGATACTCAATCTCACACATAGAAATCTCATTGAAATACACATTACATAACACATGCATAACATGATATACATATGAGAACATTATATACGAAAACACTAACCAACACAAACATACATATGTATATGTACATTTGCCTCCTCTGAATATTGCATTTAAAAATAAATTCCATTACAAATTGCATAGAAAAATGTACTGAAACATTTAAAATCGTTAAAATGCAAAATATTGTGAAAATATATGTATGTATATGGAATGCAAATCAATTTCATTACAACAATAACAACAACCAATTTAGTTATATAAGTATTCGATGAATATTCGCATAACGTAAATAGAAATAAAAACGATATGACAGAAAAAAAAATACTGGACAAGATTAACATGATATAAATAAAGATTTTGAAATGTATTGGAATATTAATTTTATAAGGCACATCTAAGGAAATGGTAAGTAATTAAAAAAAAAAATTTCGACTGATTGAGGAAAAATTAAATGGTTTTATATTCCTATAACAAAGTCCTTTAGATCGCGTTATATTACTACTAACGTCAAATTCATAGCGTATACATCACGTTAATCCTGTCCACAAATATTTTTATTTTTCAATATAATCTCCTGAAACTTCAATAAACGTAGTCCAATGCTTTTCTAGCAATTCTATGCCTTGATTAAAATATTTTTCCTCAAGGTCTTCTTTGAGGTAAAACGCTTGCCAGCAAGGAATTTTTTAGATTTGGAAGCAAGGAAAAGTCACTGGGAGCTAAATCAGGAGAATAAGGTGGGTGGTCCAGGAACTCATACTTTAATTCGTTGATTTTAGCCATTGTTAAAACACTCTTGTGCGCTGGTGCGTTGTCTTGATGACTAATTAATTTTTGGTGTTGTAAGCCAGGACGTTTTCTCGATTTTGTACATTTAATTGATCGAAGAGGTTGCAATGGTACTCTGAATTTATTGTTTTACCCTTTTGCAGATAGTCAATCAATAAAATACCGTTGTAGTTCCAAAGAAAGTTGTCATAACCTTACCAGCCGATTGAATTGTTATTTGGGGCACTTCCTCCAGCTCCAGTCCATTGTTTGGATGGTTTTTTTGTCTCTGGAGCATAGTGGTGGATCCATGTCTCATCAACAGCTATGAAACAACGCTTAAAATGCATTTTACTTTGATTAAAACGATCCAAAGACGCTTGAGAAAGTTTAATTGTTATGCGTTTATGATCGACTGTTAACAAATGCGGCACCCAACTTGCAGAAAGCTTTTTCATCTGTAGTTCTTCATGCAAAATTATATGGACTCGATCATTTGATGCTTGACGCCCATGATATTAGCAATTTTACGCACTTTTATTCGTCGACCATTTAATACCATATCATGCACTTTGGCTACAATTTCTGTTGTTGTTGCTGTTTTTGGACGTCCACTACTTGGTTCATCTTCAATTCTTGTACGACCACGTTTAAATTTAGCAACCCAATTGTTTACTGTTGCATAACACATTCGCCATATCATTATGAATTTCTTGTCCCGATAAACCTTTTTTATGTAAATTTTGTATGTTAATATTTAATAATGCGGATGCGTCTTTTTTGAACACCTGTTTCTATATAAAAGAGTTGCCAGATCGAAACAAAATTGAACAGGTGCTCATAACAGAGTTGGAAGTTTCCAAAACACTTAACTTTTTTCTGCGTCTTTTTTGAACACCTGTTTCTATATAATGGAGTTGCCAGATCGAAACAAAATTGAACAGGTGCTCATAACAGAGTTGGAAGTTTCCAAAACACTTAACTTTTTTCTGTTTATACCGTGCTTTTTGTGCTAGGCTAAGAAGTTTCCGAACTGCCCTCTTATGGGAATCAGCGGATCCAATACGCATCTGATCGAATCATGTACCCTCGATTTCCGGTAGTTTGTGGATTTTCACCACGTTTTTCAACCAAATGTAGTTAATCCGAAAGAGAAATTAATAAAACATTTACATGAATGACCTTCGCCCTAAAAAGGCATAAAAACAAAAACTCAAATTGGGTGTAGTTTGATATTTTTGACTTCCAAATCTCCCTGCCAAAACTTATTAATATTGGTCAAGGTTTAGTTTAGCTCCCATTTAAGTTTACCCCCCAAAGAAGTTTTTTATGGAATTGGATATGTTGGATTCTAATTGGGTAGCAAATAGTACAGCTTTTTATTCGTTAGCCCCCATATTGCAATATTTTGAGGATTTGGACACGATTTAGAGGCGCTAATCAGTCAATATTTGGTTTCTTGAGAATCCGTATTAAATAGTTAACAATGAAGTGCAGTTAACATTTTTATACATTTCAAGTTACACACCATGCAACAATAGCCTGCAACACCAAAACCCCAACACAAATATATCAATACGACATTTCCTCTCCTCTGCTATCAATAAACAATACATTTCGTATAATTATATAAACAATTCATATACAAATTATACAAAATAAGTAATTTGATATAAATGTCTATCAAATCTTCTGCTGCAAAATCAAAATCTGAGTCGAGAAAGTGTCCGTAATTGATTACATTATACGGAATTACAAAATACGGAATTTTATACTTAGATTTTTTACTTTCGCGCCGCAAATTAATGATTTCGACCACTATGCAGCGTGCCGATTTGAGTATAGAGTAACGTGAGTTAAATTCTGAAAAACTTATTCCATATTTAGATATAGCTCCGCACGACTGTTCGAATTACACGACATTTTACACAGAGTAACGAATTGAGCATAAACTAACGTGGGCTAAGGTTTGTTTAGAACAGTTCAGATTTAGATATAGCTTCCATATATATATTCGTCTGACTATCTGTAAATGGTGCACATAAAAATTTTCCAATTGCGACGTACCTAATTGAGTTTTGAATAATGTTTTTTTTCTCAGATCGGTTTAGATTTAGACATAGATCCCATATACCACGAAATTTTGCACATTGTACTGAATGCAGTCAAAAATTATGTATGTTAAGTTGTTTGGTTTCGTTCAATTTCAACTTTTTAAAACACATTTTGTATACGTCTGAAGTGGTGGATTATATAGTCGGTCCCGCTCGATTTGTATCCTTTCGTTATTGCTTTTCTTTTTTGTTGGGAAAAAATTTCACACAAATTGTCATCTCATTCTCCCTTTAGAATACCAAATTTTCGAATTTTGACCGTTATAATTCCATTTCATTATATAACAAAATTTCTTAAACAAATATATTGTGTCGCCTCTTAACAATTAAAACAGTCTATATCAATTACTTTTTTATTTATTTTATTAAAAAAATAACAAAAAGTATTGATACAATATTTAATTATATTACAATTTATAGTTAATTTAATTTTACTTTATTCGTCGTCTTTCGAACAAATATAAACTTACAAAATTTACAAAGACCCCAACTCGCCATACCCACAATTAATAACGCTGCAATCAACAAGACGCCAACTGTATCTAAACTATGACTTTGTAGAATATTCATTTTCTGAGCTGGACTACGCAAGTGTGGTGCACCACGATGCCGGATAATATATTCCGTCCAGTAAATTGCCAAATCTAATGGTTTCATTGGTTTATCATGATAACGCTGTGAAATTTCTTTGGCCTTTTGTCTATAACTGGAATTGTGCATCATTTCCAAAATACTATCCCGAAACAGAGATGGGGTTAACGTCTTCACATCCAGTTTTAAGGCAAATCCACGTTTTTCGGCATTGTTAACATTAAGATTTTGATCGAAGAATATTGGAATACCCAACATTGGTTTGCCATGATGAACAGCTTCGAATGTGGATAAGAGGCCCCCATGTGAAATGAATAATTTCACTTTCTCTTCAGCTAAAATGTCAGCCTGAGGGAACCAGGGGTTAATGAAGACATTTGATGGTTTTCCCGGCAGCTGGGGATTTTCATATTTCCACAATACCGTATAGGGTAACTGGGCAAAAACTTCATTAAATATTTTCAAGGTTTCTGGTGGAAAATCTTTACTTTTCACATTTGAACCCATTGAAAAATAAATTATATCTTGTGTTGAGTTGTCTATTATTGATCGAATGTCCTCTGGAAGGGGATTGGGTTCTGCGGGTATTTGAAATCCTCCCACTTCAATCATATTCGGCACATTGGGTCGTGCAAAGGAAAGTGAAAAATGTTGATTCAATAAAAACAGGGAAATATTTCTGCGTAAATTGCGTACGTGGTCCTTTATGTGTGGCATATATTCCTCCAATATTTGCTGTTGTCTTGGTAAATGCACCCAATAATTGTGTAATAGTTGTATTAGCTGTATAACAACATTCTGCAGACGTTCCATGTAGGTCATTTCTTCGGTGAAGCCTGAACCCATGGATGGAGTGTACGAAAATGGAGCTGGGTTGCCCATAATCTCATTGATAATTAAATCACTTCCAAAACTGGAGACACCAATAATTGGTACACCGAAGTGAGGTCCAAAACTGTACCATGCCTCGGAGTTAATTATTTCAATAATAGCCAAATCAAATGATTCGGTTTGGAGAAGTTCTTGAACCTGTGGACATCTTAAAACCGATCTGGTGACATTGTAGAAAAATTCCGATGTAAATGTTAGCTCAGACCATATATTTCGTTCGATAACAGCTCCTTGCATATAATCTGAAAAAATAGGAGGGAAACATACATATAAGTAAACAGGGAAAATGGTAGAGAAAAAGCGACTATAGTCTCCCGGGATGAAAAATTAGGCTAGGGCTTCGAATGTACCGAAATCCTCAAAAAAATGAAAACGAGGACAGATGTTGATACATTTTGGGAGAAAATTTGACACTCCGTGCAAACACAAAATGCAAATTTAGAGCTTATTCGGTTGAAAATGTATAAAACCCTCAAAACATCGTATAATGGAGGTACGGTAATATGATGGCTACCCCGATCATAATCAAAACGTATATTTTTATTTGTCAAAATCAAAACGTATATTTTTATTTGTTGGCCAGATTTTCAGACTGCAGATTTTCACGATGCTCAGATCATAATTTTATTCTAAAGCAGCTAGAAAAATCGGCCAGTACCGGCGATTGCTCCATAACAGCGGCCTGTACTTTGATTACAAATAGTAATGGACAAGCGGACGCACCACATAGAGCCAATATTTCAAAGCGTTACAAACTTTTAGGGTCACACAAGCTTATAATACCATCAGAACATTGTTGTGTGGAGAAGTCCCATATACATATCGATATTTTCTCATTTTTATTCGTTAAAAATTATAATACTTTGCAGCACAGAGTGTTTGTGCCGTAAATTAATTTTTACACTTACATTTCTGTATTTCATGCGCCTCCATTATGGGTATATCACGATAATTTTTCACATTTTCCTTCGACGGAAAAGCATTCAACACCGTCAACTCATGGCCGCGAGCAGCTAATGTTTTCAAGAAAGGCTTCACCAAAATATATTGTGATGGGCCGGGAAATGGAAATATAGCTAGAATTTTAGCACTTTCATTTTGTTGTATTAAATTTATAAAGAGATAAGCAACAATTAATAAAAACGTGTTAGAACACTTCATCGTTTCGATGTTAGAATTGAACTGAAATGGAAAGAAGTTAATAGCCATTGTTTTGAACAATAACAAATGTGCCGATGAGTACAGAGAACATCGAATACAACGACCACCGTGATAAAAACTCAATGAGCGTATATTGTAATCTTTGAGGTTTACGATCTATCCGCGAAATAGACTGAGAGAGTTAGAGCGTACAGTGGTTAATGATTGATAAGGGTCGGTTTGAATAAAAAAGTATGTTGGTGTGTTATTAGACTGATATAAATACGCCGGGGTTTATTTATGGTTACATTGACGTTTGAACTTGTATTTGATACAGCAACGTACACAGATTTCGTTTGCTGTTGCAAACATAAACTTACTGTAAAAAATTTCATTTCGATACGATACGTTAACAATGTACATTGTCGTAGCTAGAGCGACAAATTTGTCGCACACTTTACTTGCAGGAGTTCATAATTTATCTATTGATTGCGGGATGGTTTCAAAGAGCTGACAGTCAAAAACGTTTAGTGGAAAGTGCGAACAGAAGTTCAATGATTTTGGTTCTATAAATGTGGTATTGAAATGCCAGGAACAAATTTAGTTTATTGAAACATTAGGAAATAGCTTCGGCCGCCATGTTATCTCATTCACCAATTTCGGCTCTCTCAGTTGGAAGATGTTCCAAAAAAATCTAAATGCAGAAGTTGACTTCCAGTTTTGACATTTAAGACATAGAATGATCCCCAGATATATTGGACGAATGACGCCAAAACTCTCTATAGTTGTAGAACTAACTTCTTTTTGACAGGATGAATCGAAATCTGATTTTCATCTCTATAGATTTAAACTTGGAGTCCAGATTTTTTTCTGATTTATCTGTCAATGTTCCGGAAAGTAGTCACTACGTAAAACTAACGGTGAGTTACATATTTCGTTTTTAATTAACAGATTTTTCATTTCAACGGAGTTTAAATTAACCGGTGGAAATAGTGTCAACAAAAAAAGTGTCAGAATTATTAGCATCTATTTTTTTAATTAACCGGAGTTACCATTTTAAGGGTTTGCAATTAAGCGGATTAGACTGTATATGATTATGATTGTGACTGGGACTCTTATGAAAAGTATTACGTTAGATAAAAATCAGCTGTGTTTTGCTGTTAAAAAATATTATCTAATTATTAAATTTTGGTGTTTTAGGGTTTCAGGACACGTTTTGCAACCGAATTTTAATTTTAGTAAAATATGGCTTTTAAATTTACTGTAATTTAATATTCCTTCTGGGCTATGGGTTGCAAGCTATCCTTGGAAAACATAGTCGACCAAAAATTTGGCCAGGTCGTACTTAACGACTTTTTAACTCATCTATATATATAAAAATGAATTGCTGTTCATTAGTCTCGCTAAAACTCGAGAACGACTGAACGGATTTTATATATCTTAGTCTTGAAATGTTCGTGGATCTTCAGGGCAAAAAAATGTTATGAAGCATATTTGCATTTGCACGAATTTATTATCAAGCTGTTTTGATTGTACGATGTCGTAGTTTTATTTTGACGCATTTTGGTCAAAAATTGGTAACGCATCGTTCTTTTAAACCTTTATTTCTCAATTATTGAAAATTTTCAAAATCATTTTTTATTACATTGACATTGTATTGAAAACATTTTATGTGAGTTGAATGCACACGCGATCATTGTATGTACATATTGCACATAGAATGCACGAAAATATTGGGAAATTTTAAAGACATTCATAGAATTTTTATTCTATGATCCATATCTAGATTATTTTGTCTTGATTTAGATTAGGCGAGTTTACTTGCGGCAATTTTTGTCGTTCTATTTTGTTTGCTGAAAAGGCAATTCGGCTTCCAAAATATTTTTCTATTTGTTGTTATTTCACATTTAAATAACATGTTCTTCCTTAAATTACCTATGCCACGGCAAATATAAAATATCTTATCTTTAAAATTATAAACACAAACCCTCGCATATATCCGATACCAAAATGTGTATCACGAACAGAACTAATATAAGAAGATATTTTGAATCAAAAATTTTCTCTGACTTTGCCTTTCAATGCAAAGTTTGAGAACTATTAACTCGTATGAGAACTATTAACTATAAACCACCAATATAGAAAAATATATAGAGCTTTGTTATTACCGGTAAAACAGCCATATAACAAATGCATAATAGTCATAATATCTAATGTGAAGGATAACATGTTATCAATTCGTTTACAAATACGTCAACATGTCGATTGCCGATATATAAAATGGGGATATCTAATAACAAGTAAAAACGTCGTTTACAAATATTTCAATATGTCATTTAGGCTATCGATATATAAACTCTTGGTAAGGAGATTTGTTACCCAGTGGGAACTCAATGTATCTAATTACAGCTAATTGGTTAAAAGCGTGCATAAACTCCAAAACACTAATGGTGGTACCGTTATCATAAAAAGTGGGCCGATATCGCAAAAAGTACCAAATTACAGACAATATGCCGAATATTTGAGATTATATGTGAGGCTATCATAAAAAATAATTTTTAGATCGATATACATTAAAAATCCAAATTACAGAAAATTCGTTTGAAAACCGTGTCCAACATTCCCCTACAGATCCCATTTTCATTAAGAAACATCCAATGAAATCTCTGTCTTAAATATTGCGTGATTTCGACATAGATTTTTATTCTGATCAATAATGTATACATATACTTTCTGGGGTCTCCAGTGTTGCAAAGGGAATGACAAATTTTATATACACTTTACCTTATGGTGAAAGGTATAAAAAGCTTACTTAGCATTGGGCTACCATTATGTGGAAATATATTTGGGAAAGAATCTAATTTAAAAATGTAATCAAATTATATGACTTTATTTAAATTTATTTTCCATGAATTCAATTATTACAAAAATTATGTCCAAAGAAATTTTAAAAGGGAAAACAACGTTTACCAATTGCACCGCTTATAACTCAACAACAGAAATCGTAAAATATCCTCGCACATTTGTCAATTATAAATGAATTTATTTTCTATAGCAACAAGTCTTGGTCATAAACATTAAATAGTAGATACTCAGAACTGTAATGCTCCTTTATGTGAAAGTCATGGTATTAAAACGAGTGTTTTGGACCCAACGCAACTGAAACTTGATATTTTATCCTGCATAGATTGATATTGAAATGTGTGTTATAACGATCAAAACGGTATATGGGAAAATAATATAAAAAGCAACCTACACTAACCACTCTCATGCACATTTCTTAGCAAAAACGGTTGTTTATGCAAGTATGAATAGAAATTGAAAAACAAATCCAAAATACCGAAAATTATTCCTTAGTCTCAATTTAGATTAGGCGAGTTTACTTGCGGCAAGTTTTATATATTTATAAGAAATCCAGGGGCAATGTACGTTTTATACATATGCTATAATGAAAAAAAATTGCTCGTAACAATTTTTTTTTTTTAATTCGTTTTGTGTATTTCGTATTTGTTGACATTTTATATATATTTAAATGTGAAAAAACAACAAATAAAAAAATATTTTGGAAATCGAATTGCCTTGTATAGACGCATGAAGCAAGTTCAAAAGAGAACGATAAAAATTGCCGCAGGTAAACTCGCCTAATATAAATAAGGACTTAACAATATTGCTAAGGCAAGACAGCATTTGCCGGGCCGCAAGTTTTATATATTAATAAGTAAATCCAAATGTACGTTTTATACATATACTATAATTTTTATTAAAAATATTTTTTTTAATTTTGTCATCTATGTATTTTCATTTTCAAAATCTGGTGGCCCTAGTATTACCCAACTACATATGGAGCTTATCTGCATCTGTGCCAATCGAAAACGGTAAAAATGAATAAACATTTTTTAATTGAACTGTTTTTTATACAAATGGAAATTTTTTAATGACTGCAATTTTATTTTCAAAAAACTAAAAACTCACTCATTGAAATACATATTTATATTTAAACCAGTGAGCGGAGCAGTATAGTCGGACGGGGCCGACCATACGATACCCTACACAACTTCCATGAAAATCTAACTTTCTGTGGTTCTATATTCTGAGATTGGGCAATATTTGCACACTTTTGACTGGCTAGTGGTCAGCAAATGTTACTAATAATCAGTACAGCCCCTCTACATACTTGTCCAGATTCCCTTCACCGTGGGTTGTGTTGTGATGTTCGGCTTTCGACTCGACAAGTACAAATAATTATTTTTTTTGTCCACTTCATCCGAAAAATTATTATCTGATCATCACCGAAAATTATAGGCGTTGTCCTTGACCATAACTGGAATCTCATGGAACATTTCAAAGCGATCCGCGCTAGATTTCCGCCCTTCAGTGTGGTAATAGGTTATTAAATAACATCTGAATACGTAAGCACCTGTAAATATTTAAGTGTAACTCCTGCATCCGAGTACCTACGACAATACAATTGGTATTCATTAAAAGATCAACCACTACTCTTGGATATACTATCAACTTCTCGGGTCTACGTCCTTCAGTGGTAAATATATACGCTATAGAATACAAATGTTGTCATTTTTCACACAAAAGTTAGGGTCCATTTGACCCGCTAACTATTGACCGATCTTTATCAAAACAGGCATGCTTATTCTCTGGCCCGATCCGCTTCTCCATGAAAAAATTCACGGTGTTTGGGCCATAATTGCGGCCTCTGGAGCGACCAGAAAAACCGATAAAAATAAAGTTTTTGGTCCATTTCATTCCCTAACTTATATTTATTACCGCTATTTTTCCAAAAACAATTCATTTTATGGAAATGAATTTAAATTATCATGCAAAATTTCGTAAGATTGGTTATAACTGTGCAAACCTGTTCAAGGAATTTAAAAGATTTTAATTTCCAGATATGGAGCTTACACATCTGTGCCAATCGAAAACTGTAAAAATGGATAAACATTTTTTAATTGAACTGTTTTTTTATACAAATGGAAATTCTTTAATGACTGCAATTTTATTTTCAAAAAACTAAAAACCCACTCATTGAAATACAT